AAAAAAAAAAAAAAAAAAAAAAAGGTGACTAAGTTTAAACATATAAGAATAAGTACACAATTTCTTATAAATAAATTATGTTTTTTTTTTTGTGGATTCCCCCCTCGTACATGAAGACTTGTAGATAAAGCGACGAATAAACCATTCCCTGACCCTAGTGACTTTACAGTAGATGAGTAATAGGAGACAGACTTATAAACAGATTTATTGCAATACCAAGGGCTGAAAAACACAACGAGCAGATTAAAGGAATACTATGGGAAGAGAGGTGCACAAAGCTACCTCATTCCAGAGCAATCTGGAAGGGTCAAAAGGGGATCATGAAATATTCCAGTTGACTTTTGAAAACCAAATCAGAATATGCTGACACAGAAGGGGGAAAGGGAGTCACAGGCCAAGGACACAAGATAATAGGAGTGGATTCATGGAAGAGGGGAAGAATGTAAAATATTTGGGGCATCTGCTGAGCACCATCCTGGGCAAATAATTTATGTAATTGTTGAAAGGGCAAAGCACTTGAGGAGCAGTCACAAGTTTAGTGGGTCTGATTTCTAGAATGTAAGAAGTGGAGATAAAGATGAAGAGGTTGGTTTGGCCTAGACTCTGAAGATCCCGTGTGCTATACTAGCAAGTTTAGTCTCTCCCAGAGGCAGTTTTGCTCAGTAGTTAAACCACGGACTGCCGGGGTCAGAATGAACCGTATTTGAATTTGAACTCCACTACTTAATCACTTTGTGATTGGGAGCAAGTGGTTTATACTCCATGGGTGGGGTTTGCATTTGTAAAATGAGGAGACCAGCGCCCACCTCAATAGTTGTCCAGAGAATGAAAGGATATGAATTCTAGATTCATTTTATTAAAGCATTTAGCACAGTCCTTGGCATATAAGAAGCATTCCTTACATGATAGCCATCATGATTTTTTAGGATGAACACGCCTGTGATTCCAGCTACTTGGAAGGCTGTGGTGGAAGGATTGCCTGTGCCCAGCAGGTCAAAGCTGCAGTGGCCATGAACCTGCCACTACACTCCAGCCTGGGTGACAGAGTGAGATTCCAACTCAGACAAACAAATAACGTAAAAAATGAGACAAAAGAATGTTTAGAGAGAGTAAAGGCAGACTAGGGGCAATGGCGTCATGGAAACAGAAGAAAAATGTGTTTCAAGAAATCAAGGACAATGACTGAGATAACGAGATACATGACAATAGGCCCATAGGTACTGGCTCAGCACAAGATGTTTCATTTCTCTTGGAAAATGTCCAGTTCAGTGTCTTGAGGGGCTACAAGGGGTGCGCTCTGCTCCATGAGGTTACTCAGGAATCCAGGATGATGGCCACTTTACATGTGTAATCATTGCTTCTTGGCATCACCTTGAGAGTGGTTCCCTCTGCCATGCAATCAGGAGAGGAAAAGAGCTTGGAAGAGCAAAAGGAGGGGCAAGCTCCATGAGCTTGGAAATAGCACACTTCTGCTGGAGAGAATCAGTCACATAGCCCCCGCTGACTGCAAGGGAGGCTGCAGGTAGTCTGGTTGAATCTTCAGGAAGAGGAGAAGGAAATCCATTTAGTCTCCACCATAGGAGGGTTGAGAGGTTTGGGTTAAAAGAGAGGACCGAAGACTGGACATGGTGGCTCACACCTGTAATCCCAGCACTCTGGGAGGCTGAGGCTGGAGGATCGCTTGAGCCCAGAGGTTTGAGACAAGCCTGGGCACCCTAGCAAGACCTCATCTCTACAGAAATTTAAAAAAAAATTAGCGGGGCATGGTTGTGCATGCCTGTAGTCCCAGCTACTCAGGAGGCTGAGGTGGAAGGATCCCTGAACCTAGGAGGTCGAGGCTACACTGAGTCATAATCGCACCACTGCACTCCAGCTTGGGTGACAGAGTGAGATTCTGACTACAAAAACAAATAAATGAAGTAAGATATTACTTTAAAAAAAGAAGACTGAAGAGAAGCTGTGTTGTTGGCAAATTGGTGTCATTGGTGACTTCCACTGGAGTATTTTAGCAGAGCTATGGATTATGGATCTGGAAGTGAAGCAGACATGTGTAGGGCTCTGCTGATCATGAAAAGAAAACAGACTTCTGTTTAGAGCCTGCTCTTTTCAGGAATT